TTGTGGGGAGAAACTTTGCTTTCTGCTAATTATGTTCTCAACAAAATACCTCAAAAGAAAACAAATATGACACCTTATGAATTATGGAAAGGTCAAAAACCATCCTATAAATTCTTAAAAGTGGGGGGGGGGGGGGGGGGGGGGGGTGGTGTCTAGCTAAGGTTACGGTTCCTACTCCTAAGAAAGTTAAGATAGGACCAAAAACCTTTGATGGTATTTTCATAGGCTATGCACAGAATAGTAGTGCATATCGTTTCCTTTTGTATAAATCAGACATTTCTGATATCCATGTAAATACAATTATTGAGTCAAGGAATGCTTATTTTTTTTTAGGATATATTTCCATGTAAAAATCCTCTGAAAAGAAATCATGATATTTCTAATAGCAATATACAAGAGAAAATAGACCAAGAGTCTATAGATAATGAAAATAAGGAAGAACCTAGACGTTGTAAAAGAGCTAGAATGTCTAAGTCATTTGGTCCTGATTTTCTGACATATATATTGGAGAATGAGCCACAAAGCTGTAAGGAAGTTATGTCTTCTCCTGAAGCTTCTTTATGGAAAGAAGCTATAAATAGTGAAATTGAATACATCATGCAAAATCATACTTGGGAGCTAATGGATCTTCTTCGTGGTACTAAACTTTTAGGGTATAAGTGAATTTTCAAGAGGAAGATGAAGCCTGATGGTTCAATTGATAAATATAAAGCCCGGCTTGTTGCTAAGGAATACAGGTAAAAGGAAGGCTTGGATTATTTTGATATATATTCACCAGTCACATGAATAACATCCATTAGATTGTTACTAGCTATTGCAGCATTACAAAATTTAGAAATACATCAAATGGATGTTAAGACTGCCTTCTTGAATGGTGAATTAGAGGAGGAAATCTATATGGAACAACTTGAAGGTTTTATAGTTCCAGGAAAAGAAAAGAAGGTGTGCAAGCTTGTAAAATCCTTATATGGATTGAAACAAACACCTAAACATGGCATGAAAAATTTGACAAAGTGATGTTGTCAAATGGTTTTAAAATTAATGAGTGTGATAAATGTGTTTATGTGAAAAACACTTTAAATGGATATGTCATTGTGTGCCTATATGTGGATGATATGCTAATAATAGGTAGTAATGATGTTATAATCAAAACTACTAAAAAGATGTTGACCAAAAATTTCGATATAAAAGATTTAGGCATAGCTGATGTCATACTAGAAATCAAGATTTCTAGAATATCAGATAGTTTAGTATTATCTCAATCTCACTATATTAAGAAAATATTAGAAAAGTTTAATAAGGAAGATAGTAATCTTGTAAAGACTCCTGTTAATGTAAATCTCTATTTATCAAAAAATACTGGTCCTAACTTATCACAACTTGAGTATTTTCACATTATAGGAAGCTTAATGTATTTGATGAATTGCACATGACCAGACATAGCATACTTAGTTAATAAATTGAGTATATATACAAGTAATCTAGGAAAGAACTATTGGACTGCAATAATCAGGGTTCTAAGGTATTTAAGATATATTATAAGTTATGGATTACATTATTCTAGATATCCAGCAGTACTTGAAGGATACATTTATCCTAATTGGATATCAGATACGAAAGATTCTAAATCCACAAGTGGCTATATCTTTACTATTGGAGGAGGTGTCATATCTTGAAAATCTTCAAAACAAACTTCTATTACCAAATCCACTATGGAATCTGAATTTCTTGCTTTGGATAAAACTGGTGAAGAAGTTGAGTGGCTTAGTAATTTCTTAGAAGATATTCCAAATTGACCTAAATTTGTGTCCGTTATATGTATACATTGCGATAGTCAATTAGCAATTAGAAGGGTACAAAGTAATATGTATAACGGTAAGTCTCGACATATACGTCGACGACATAATACCGTTAGACAATTGCTCTCAAGGGGGATAATAGATTATAACAGGTCAAAAGATAATTTAGCGGATCCGTTTACAAAAAGTTTGACAAGAGAGCAAGTGTATAGTTCATCGAGGGGAATGTGATTAAAGACGAAAGCTAACGAGTCATCTTAATAGAAACCCAACCTAGTTGACTGGAGATCCTAAGATCTAGGTTCAAAGGGACAACAAAAATTTTGAATGGCTCACCAGAAGTACTGGGAAGATTTAATCTTCTACCCATTTCTATGATGAGACAGTGCTACCTACAACGATGAGTAGGATAAGCTATGCTTTTAATGACTCTTATACCTTAAAAATTCAAGTGGGGTATAGTAGGACACTCTTAATAAGAAGTCACCTATATGAGTGTGAAGTGGGGCCGCTTCTATGAGAACTTCTAAGGCTAAGTTTTCTAGAGCGCTCATGAAATACCAGGAGTTGTTTAGGGCCATATGAACACAACCGTGAGAACCGACTTTGTGCTAGAAGGAACTGTGTGTTTGCTATTGTCTTGGTTTACATCAACGGCTGAACAGTTCAAGACATCATGTTCACTGGTTAGCCAATAAATCCGATAGTTATACACCAGGGAAGGTTCAAGGCCAAAAGTTACTTATCCCGATGCAGTAACTTTCCAGTAGTACTCTCTTTAGTGTCTGTATCTTCTTCATTTGCATTTTACGTAAATTTCCATTCATGTGGGGGATTGTTGGAAACGGGGGTATTAAAAACATAAATTTTGGATGACATTTGGAATAGATTCAACTAAGAATTTTTTGCGGATCTCTAGATAAGTGCGTTTCTCTCCGTAAGGAGATGAACGTGGTATATTTACTTTCTCAAATCCGTTTCCGAGTGAATGAGAAATTAGCTCCAAAATGTGGTGTTTTGATAAGCCTAAATGGGTATGCAAAATGTGGGAAGTGTTTGTCCCACACGGAAAAAATGTTGAAACCAATTGAAATTTAAAGAAGCCAAATTTGGGATTTGGGCTTGGGCTTAGGCTTAAGCCTAATTGTAAAGTCTGATTATTCTTTTTACTAAATGGAATTTTGGATTGGGCCTTTATTTTTAGGTTGGGCTTATTTAAATGGGTGGTTGGTTTTTGAATTTAAATTAAAAGTTAGTTTTTTTTTTTTTTTTTTAAAGGGTTGTATCTATTTCCAAAGGGTTGCATCTGTTTTCCAAAGAATTGCATCTGTTTCTAAAGGGTTGCAACTGGTGCTGAACCAACATGACCCATGGTTGCACCCATACCCAAAAAGGCATTTTGCTTCCTATAAATACCCCCCTTTGGGGTCATTTGCTATCACACCAATTCAGAAAATCATTCTTCTCTTTCTGAATTTTCTTCTTCCTTCTTTCTTTTTTTATAATTGTCTGTGGGTTTGAGCTCTAGTCTGTGGGTTCGAGCCTTAGTCAGTGAGTTCGAGTCCGACTTCGAGTCAGAGAGTACTACACCGAGCTGGTTCGCCTATTTCTTTGGTTTGCAGTGCTACCACCGAAGGAGAAACAAGTCGTTGTATCATAGGAGATAGACGCCACTAAGTCCGTTAAGACCATAGTGGGGCGAATCTGTCTTAAGGACATAGAATCAAATTTTAGCCTCGATTTTTAATCAGGTTCCTTTATTTATAGTTTTTTAGTTTATTATATTAAACTATATATTATAAGTAATTATATATATAGATTATTATTTTATAATAATTATATATATATATATATATATATATATATATATATATAAATATTATATTTTTACATAATATTTAAATAAATAGTACTATAGTATATGATATATTTAGACCATATTTTGGACAACAAAACTTACTAAAACTGCATAAAGAAAAATGAAAAGAGAAACATATTAAAACTGCATTTCTATAATATGTAATTTAAAGGTTAGAATTTATAGTCGGATAAATGGAAGTGCCTGATTGACCAGGCACCACATACACTCCCATATACTTTTTATTATTATTATTATTATTATTTTTTATTAACATCACTCCTATATACATTCAGTCATTCACAAATACTCGTATTCAATTCCACATTTTAATATACCAAAAGGGTAAAGTGAAAAAAAAAAAAAAAAAAAAAAACTTGCTATACAAAAAAGAGTATAAAAAATACCCCTACTATTTAATATGTGCATGTAAACCCTTAACATTTAGTACCAAAAGGAAAAAAGAATCCTAACATTTGAAAATTTACAGCAAATTGCCTCTTGATCGTTAATTTTGACCCATTTTTTTTTTGTTATACAAAAATTCCAAATACTGTTAAGAAAAATGAAAATCAATATTAGAAAAAATTGAAACAAATTTTTTTATATCACTTTAAGGGCATTTTAGTTTTCAAATTAAGAAAATGTTCTCATTTGCACAATTTGAAAAAAATGGAGGATTTTTAAAAAATGCTCTTATTTACCTATACAAAAATCAAAATAACAAGAATAAGTGGATATATTTTTTCGAAAATACTATTATATAAATAGTTGTTGTTGGGCTTATGGGTCTCCAACCAAAAAGTAGTGGAGTGACTCTTTTCTTGTATAAGTTTGGATTTTCTTGTTCATTAGTTATGTGGGACTTGTTTAACTATCTAACAATCCAATTCTCCTCTTGAACGAAGCTCACTCCGATAGATAAAATGTCACCGGTTTTACTGTCTTTCCACTAGCTAAAGGATCTTGAGTTCATATGCGGTTCTTTGGAACCTTATTTTATTTTCTCTCTTCAATTATGTGTATCAATCTTATAATATACGTACCATTTAAATTAAGAATATGATCTGAAAACGAGGCCCAAATCTCTGTCAATGCTGCAATGCCTGTAGTTCTTTAAAACCTTACTTTAATACCAGTTAGTTGAACTACCGACATAAATAAAGTAAAAAGAAAGGGCTGGAGTAGTACATATGTTAAAATATTTTTATTTTGACAATACTCTCTTGATTTTTGACAAGAGTCTCTTCAAATTTTTAACAATAAACTGAAGGGAAGGGAAGGAAACCGAATGTGACAGGGCCGTGGGCCCCATCAACATTTCTCACGTTCGGTTAGAGAAGAGAGAAAAAAAGAAAAACGGAGGAGAAAGCTAGAGCTGAACAGCCTTGACTTTGAGTTGGAGCCTGCTGGGTTTGGAGATGGACTTGTCATCAAACTGGAGTGCTCCTCCCTGATTCCCACAATTTTTTTCCGTTTCTTTTTTCGTTTTTTAAAATATAAAGTTACACCAAGAACATCTTTCAACATCAACATATTGACGACCAAACCAAAACCAAACCTCCTCTTCTTTCTCCTCCCTGTTTCTTGAAGCAATTTAGCCCTTTCTCTCTCCCTCCACCCTGTAAACCCCAAATTTAAAATTCCTTAGTAAAGGCTCAAAACCCAACTCGAAGGATAGATCTATCAACAACTACCTTATTCTAATGACGTCCCAACTATCTGTATTAGCTTTCAATTAAAAGTAAGGTCCTTCATTGGGTCTCTTCGTCTTTGGGGCTTTTCTTTAGGTTCTTTGAAATCTTGGATTCGCTCTGGTGAAAACATATAGAGGAGGAGGGTGTGAGAGAGAGAGAGAATACAAAAGAAAATGAGAAACTGGAGTTGGGTTTTTGTTCTACTTGTTTGTTCTGCTTCTGTGCTGAGGATTGGTGCTGTGGAGCTTGGCCGTGGTCATCAAACCGAGCGAATTTCAGGTCTGATACATTTGGCGTTTCATTTATATATCAATTTTACTTTTCTGGGTTTTTCTTTTTATTTGTTCTTATCTTTTTTCGGTAAATAATGAGCATCATTTAGGTTTCTTTTGGGGTTAATTGCTTTAATTTTTTTTAATTTTTTTATAAGTTAATTGGATTTAAATTTTAGTTGGGTTCATTTGGTTCTTTAGGTGATATGGGATTTAGATATGTTGCCTTTTATGGGATACTGATCTGGGCACCCAAGGGGTATCTTGTTGGTTGAACATCATTTAGGTATATTTTGGGTTAATTGCTTCTAATTTTTATTTTATTTTTGATAAGTTAATTGGTTTTAAATTTTAGTTGGGTTCATTTGGTTTTTTAGGTGATATGGGATTTAGATTTGTTGCCTTTTATGGGATGCTGATTTGGACACCTAAAGGGGTATCCTTTAGTTCTGATTTATGGGTGATGATAGGAGTTAAATTGGTCAAATTACAGTGCTGAGTATTGGGTTTTCAAGTTCAACAGTCAAATTTCAGTGTTTTCTAAAATGTACTTGGCTTTTTGTCTACACTAAACTGGAGGGTATTTTGGTTCATAGAAATTTGTAATGTTACTGCATTAACATGATTTGGATACCTTTTTTGGCGGTTTGCTGGGGTGGAATTGGATATATCATTGAAATACTGCATGTTTCTAGGGCTGTTTTCTTAGTAAGTAATTGATGAATACTCTTGGAGCTTAGATTATATTCTTGGCTTTGTTCCAAATTTTGATTTTACTTATCAGGGGTTGGACGCTCTGGTTCTAATGTATTTAATTTGTCAACCACCACTAGCAATTTCTTTTATTGATCATAAAGTTTAGAACTCAGAGGTTTTTTTAAATTCCAGTTGGGAAATGGGGAACTCTGGATGAGGCGTGGTAAAGGACAAAAAAGTAGCAAATGTTGTGAAGAAAAATGCAAAATGGCTGCTATTACAATGGCATAACATGTTGTAATTTAAATATCTTGGAACCAATTATAACCCGAGGATCCATTTAATCATTCTCCAGAATCATGGAAATTATTGTGTATTTTTTAATATCATTCAGTTAGAAGTCCAATCTAGCAGAGAATGAAGTTATGCAATCTGATCAGTATCTTTAAAAAAAAAATTGTTTAAAAGAATTAGACAATGTCGAAGGTGCACAATATTGACCAAGCCCTAGTGATCTTTGGACCCTAAAATCACTTATTTGTGTTTGTGAGATCATGTTTGAGTGAGTGGGAGTGTTTGTAAGATTGGGTGGTTACCATGCCTGCTAAAATACAAACGGCATTGTTTAATAAGGGCAACGTTGTCTTTTCCCATAGCTGCTAACGACCAGTCATGGAAATGGACTTACGTGGAAATGTTTTGGCAATAGAAGGGGTAATATGCATCAAACGTTAATAGAAGGGGGTGATATGCAAAAAGTTATATAACATGGGGATCATATGCAATTATCCCCTTAAAGAATGGCAAAAAAAGTAAGAAACTAGAGGATTTAGAGAAATGCAAAAAATTGAAATATGGACCTAAAAGGATGGGTGCTAAAGCTAAGCAAAATGCATTAAATTGGCTTCTATGAAAAATTAGTAACAAAAGAGGGTGAAAAGGTTATTTACAAATTAGGAAAAAATAAAGAGAGGTTGATTAGAGATATGAATCAACTTAGGAGTACTAAAGATATAGAACAAGATATGAAAAATTGCGATGGATGATAGGATGTTATTAGAAGAGATAAGATTAGTAATGATGGAGTAATGGAAAATCTAGGAATAACATCAATTGATGACAGCTTAGAGAAAGTTGACTTAAGTGGGATGGTCATATACAATGTGATCTGAAGATGCATCGGTTAGAAGATAAAGAGTGGTTCGCTTATAAGGTAAGTGACAAAGAGGATGGCCAAAACTTACATGGGATGAAGTAATTACAAATGGTTTTTAAAAATTAAATATTAGAGGAGACATGGCGTATATTAGGTGTGGCAATACTTGATACGATATCTTAACATGACTCAAAAATGACAAATGATAAGTGGATTTGGATTTTGCTTAATTGTGTTCGCAATTTTGTCAACTTGAATTTACATGCCAATTAAACGTGTTTTGTTTGTTTTTGACCAACTAACCTATTTATAACCCGAGTAGACTTGTTTAACTAAATTTGTCGTGTTTGTGTTTGAAATGACCTTAATAGTATGAGATTTTAATTAAACGTGTCTTGCAGTGTCGTGTCAGGTCTTAACTCATTTATTAAACTAGTTACATTAGTGGTGTTGTGTTACCTATCTAATAGTTGTGTTGTGTTCATGTCAAGGTTATTTGACACGAATAATAATTGTGTCTTGCTCATGTGGACCCATATAACAAGGTACCCATGTCATGACACAAAATTAGTACGACATAGAAACACGAATTGCCACCCCTCCTAATATATATAGGAAATAATAGAAAAAGAGAATTCATGTGACCGACCCCATCCATATGGGATAAAAGGCAAGAATGATGATTTTGATTGCCTAAGTACCTAGTTGATATTGTAAAGCATAATTTTCAATCATGTTGATAGTATGTGATGTTTTTAAATGATTAAGATGACATGGACAATCATGTGTAAGTTAACACACCTCTATGGAGTGCATGTGGGTTTTATGTCCCGATAATTATTAATTTTTAGAAAATATTTATTTATTTATTTGTTTGTCGTTTTTGGCTCACTTTAATATTCAAGTCTTCATAGGAAATTTGGATTCTTTTTGAGATATAAATAGTTCTTGGTAGAGTGGAGGTTTTTGAAGTATTGTTTTTTGGGTATAACATGGGTTGTTGTCAAAAGATTTTGATATATTATTTTCTTTGTTTGCCAACCCCATTACTTAGGAAAAAAAATAAAAATTTTGTTTGCCAACCCCATTCTATTGAAAATGTGCATGCATAATATGGTTTGCAAAACTCTCTTACTAAATTTATACCTCTTTTTAGTTGTATATATGATTCTAATTGCTACCTTCAGATATTATCCTATTTTTAAGCTTTATGAAGCATGAACTCTTCCTAGGAGGAGCAGTGTCTCTGTCCTCGCACCGTGTTAGACATAACATGCTACAAACATGTTGGACACATTGCACAATGTGTCAAAAATATTTTCTAAAGGAAATTAATATTATGCACGTGTTCTAAAACAAAGCAAGCGTGATAATATGGAAAAGGAAATAGTTTTGAAAACAAAATGATAAAATAGAGCACTATAGTAATCTACATAAAATACATATGCACATATATAAAGGGTAAATTGCATAAAACACCCCTGAACTGTTCTCTCTCAAGAAACCCCCTTGAACTATTATATAAGCAGTTAACCCCCTAAATATCCTATTCTATTCAAAATCCCTCACGTTGTTAAACTTCGGTTGCAATAACGGCAATTCACTTTCTGCAAGTCACGCGATCAAACTATTTTAAAAATGACATTATTGCCCTTATAACCATTGGGCATACCCATATTTAATAGTTTAACCCGTTTTAACCCCCAATCCTTGGCACCTTCGTTTGGCCAAACAAACCCTAACAAAATTTTCTTACTGCGTCCTTATTCAGAGAGAGAGAGAGAGTGGAAGTGGGGGTGAGAGGAAGTGGGCAGGTCTGAATCAGAAACAATAAAATCATCATCATCATCATCCTTGCCTTTATCCCATATGGATGAGGTTGGCCACATGAATTCTCTTTTTCCGCCTTCTCTTAAATTTCAAGTTTTTTAAAATCTTTTTAATAATTTCATCCCACGTAAGCTTTGGTTGGCCTCTTTGTCGCTTACCTTCTAAACAAACAACTCTTCCTCTTTTAATAGGTGCATCATCGGGTCTACATTGAATATGACCATACCACCTAAAGTGTACTTTCCCTAATATTTTCATTTATAGGCGCTATACCTAATGTTCCCCTTACATGTTTATTATTAATCTTATCTTTTGTAGTGATCCCTATCATCCAAGGTAACATCCTCATTTCCGCTACATGAATGTGTTGTATTTGTGTCTTTTTCAATGCCCAACACTACACTCCATACAATATTGCCAGACTAATAACCATTCTATAGAATTTTTCTTGTAATTTATTTGGTATTCGTTTATCACAAAGTTGATGCTGGTGCTGGTCGAGAGAGAGAGAGAGAGACAGTGGAGACGGTGGCCGTCAATGGATGGAGGTGGTTATAGGGAAGAAGAAGAATCGTGTATTTATATATGTAATCTGTAGTATGAATAATATCAATGTCTTTTAACTATATGAATTGTCGTCATCTCATTGGAGATTTATTTTATTTTATTTTATTTGTATATTTATCATTCAGGAGGCCAGTTTCTACTTTAGGGGTGTTACCTGCAAACAGCTAATAGGTCAGAGGGGTTTATTGCAACTAACCCATATATGTATATGATACTGTTTTTTCTTTATTTGGGGGCAAGAAGGGACTTAAATCCCTGATAGGTTGGGAGGCCAACTGGATTCTACTAGGCTATTACATATATGATATTTGGTGAGATTCACCTTTAGAATTATGCAATTATTACCATAGAAATTTGAACAAATCAATAGAAATAGCATATTTGTCCCATGTCAAGTACATACATATAATGTTATTATATATTTATGTAGTGTCTTGTTCTCACAAAGTTGTCATCCTGCTTCTTGAAAATATTTGTCATTGAATGTGTCATGTACGTGTACTTGCTACAAAAGCTTATCCCAAACATGCTCTCCCACACCCACCCAACCTTTTCCTCCCCTCTATGTTACGTGGACTCGGGTACGGGTGTCGGACACGGGTATGTATCCATGAGTCGGACGTGTCAAATCTCCAAATAGAAGGACACACGGACACGGCTAAATATTCATTTTATTAATTATTTTATTTTATTTTCTAGAGTAAAGTAATGTTTTTATTTAATATAATGTTCAATATAGGCATTTAACTCATTTTAAAGTAATAATATAATGTAATTGAATGATTGCATATGCTTTTTAAGTACATGTCCAACCAAAAGTGTCGGACACATATCCCATACCCATGTCTGAGGCACATGTGTCCGACACGGGTACTTCACTACTTTTGAAGAGTCCATGTAATAGAGCCTCCCCTCCCCTCCCCTCCCCTCCCCTCTAGGGTAAAAAAAAAAAAGGAATAGAAATTTTTTTTTTCTTTTTTCTTCTGAGAGTGTTTTCAGACCTGTTATTTCTAGCACATAAAACAGAGTTTCTGTTAGGCTGCGAACAGTTTCCAAAGTCAAAATGGGTTCAGTATTGGGTCTAGGGATATAGTTTGTAACTAACACTAGCCAGAGTTCAAAATCTTATATTGACACAGTAGACATCAATTATGCTGGAGTAGGTAGTATTAGAACAATTTAAGGAATGGAAGTGAATGTCCTACAGTCACTTTTGTTTGTTTATTGGACAATATGATTTAGAAAACTAGGAACCAAAACTAGGGGTCATTGTTTGGATAATGTTAAAAGTTGTTGTCAAGCATAAACTCAAAACTTAGAGTCTGATGGTAGCTATTTTGTTAACTTAAAGTCGGAGGTTAATTCTGTACCTAGTTTCCCCCTCCCGACACCCATATCAGTACGTACACTGAGTAATGGCCATTTAGGAGTTAGAACCAGGAATTATAAAGATTAATTGTTGAAACCTGAGAGTTCCCACTGTTGTTATGTCAGAGGTAGCTTCAAATGAGAATAATACAAGAAGTGATGAGACTTTTTGGTCTTGAGCAATAAAAATGATGACTTCACTTGGAAGGGGTAATGTGGTTCAAAGTTGAAAGTGCTCAAAAAAGGGGAAGTCTGTCATGATTGTTGGCGGGACATGATGAGATTAATAGAAGATATGGCTTTAGATGGAGCAGATTAGAGCGGTCAAATAGTTTTTTTCCTTGGTAGAGCGGTCAAATAGTTGGGATTAGAGCTTCCTAGAGTTGAGTTGGTAATATTCCGATGTTTTCTTAACTCGCTCATTTTGGGTTTGTTTGTAATAAGTATTTGAAGAATTTGTTAGTGAAAGTATAAAAAATAGTTTTTCCGAAAGTGAATGATATCATTCATATGGGTGCATATTTTCATTTGCGATTGAATCCCAGAAACATTGTTTCTGATTTGAATCATCATCTGATATAGATGCAGAATTTTTTTAATGCTCTTATTTCCTAATATCTTTTTGTAACACTATGCACACTTATTCGCAATGGAGGTAGTGCTGTGATACTACATAATAGCATCAAGATTTCAGGCAAGCTTGTTAGAAAGCGAACAAGCAGTTGTGCGGAGTAGCCAACCTAACTAGTCACTAGGTATCTCAATCATTGATAGAAAGAAGATGGTATGAGCTTACTCAGTTTTGGGAACCTCCTTGTTACCGGACCAACTCTTTTATGCTACAGTAGTTTTTTTTGTTTTTTTTTTGGGATATGTTAAATAGTCCTTTATTTTTATTCTCATTTTTTTTTACATGCTAACCTAAGCTAAATCCCGAGTGGAAACCCAAATTTAAAGTTGGTGTCCTGCTTTTTGAATTCTAGTGAATCTAGTGCAATGTTTTATTCTGTTGCTAACTAAAATGTGCTATCAAGGCTTATCAAACTATGTACTAAATACGTTGTCTTTCAATATTGGTTAATTAATGCTATTTGGGCCTGCTTAATCAATTTTTCATTTTTGTGAATAATTTAGGTAGTGCTGGTGATGTCTTGGAAGATGATCCAGTGGGAAGGTTGAAAGTTTTTGTTTATGAGCTTCCTAGCAAATACAACAAAAAGATTCTGCAGAAGGACCCCAGATGCCTTACCCACATGTTTGCTGCCGAGATCTTTATGCATCGGTTCCTCTTATCAAGCCCTGTTCGAACGCTCAATCCTGACGAAGCTGATTGGTTCTATACTCCTGTATACACCACTTGTGACCTGACACCAAATGGCCTCCCTCTACCCTTCAAATCTCCACGAATGATGAGGAGTGCAATACAACTTATTTCTTCTAATTGGCCTTATTGGAATAGGACAGAAGGGGCTGATCACTTCTTCATAGTGCCACATGATTTTGGGGCATGCTTTCACTATCAAGTAAGAAGTTTCAGTGTCTCTCTTCTGTTCCATCAATTTTCCTTGAACAAACTTCTTTTTGGCCATTCGAAATGAACCATGGACAATTTTCTAAGTAAACTTTCAAAAATTTGTGCTTTTTCGCATCAACCCTTCTGATTTCAATCTTTCAGGAAGAATCAAAATGTGTATCTGTATTATTTTTAGGGTGTCATATTTTGTTGGTGAAATTTTTTTTCTAGCTTCAACTCTTATTTGATATCTCCATTTATGTTAATTATTGCAGGAAGAAAAAGCTATTGAGAGAGGGATTCTTCATTTGCTTCAGCGTGCTACCTTGGTTCAGACTTTTGGACAACGGAATCATGTTTGCTTGAAGGATGGCTCAATCACAATTCCCCCTTATGCTCCTCCACAGAAGATGCAAGCCCATTTGATCCCTCCAAATACTCCTCGGTCCATCTTTGTTTACTTCCGAGGTTTGTTTTATGACGTGGGAAACGACCCAGAAGGTGGTTATTATGCAAGGTATGTCTCACTAAACGTGCATGGTAAAGGTGGGCCATTCGAATGTTTTAGCGACACAACCCCCCCTCCCCTTTTTGTGTTTGTGTGTGTAGCTCCTGACTTGACAAAAATTTCCTTTAGTTTAATAATAAAGAAAATTATATTTATTCTAAAAATTAACCATCTGACTTTTGCTAATAAAAAATGTAATGCCAATTGAAAGTATACAAACGTTCACATTCATAGAACAGAGTAAGTTCTTCTTGAAAGCTATGAAAACTCAAGAGCCAAAGAACAAAGATAATGGCTAAACAAAAGCTAATAATGGTATTCTATTCAAATGCCTTGTCAAAGCTACTGGAAGATCTAATTTCTAAGATTTGTCTAGTGATCCTTCATATGACAAAATTAAGCCAAGGGATATTCATCTAAATTTGTCAATTTCACAGAGGGGCACGAGCGTCAGTGTGGGAGAACTTTAAGGACAATCCACTTTTCGACATCTCCACAGAGCATCCAACAACTTACTACGAAGATATGCAACGAGCTATATTTTGTTTGTGCCCACTTGGTTGGGCTCCATGGAGTCCAAGATTGGTTGAAGCGGTGGTATTTGGGTGCATCCCTGTTATAATAGCCGACGACATTGTTCTACCATTTGCTGATGCTATCCCATGGGAAGAAATCGGGGTGTTTGTGGACGAAAAAGATGTTCCCAATCTAGACACCATTCTCACATCAATTCCACCAGAAGTTATATTAAGGAAGCAGAGATTGCTTGGCAACCCTTCAATGAAACAGGCAATGTTGTTCCCACAACCAGCTCAGCCAGGGGATACTTTCCATCAAATTTTGAATGGACTTGCACGTAAGTTGCCGCATGACGGCCGTGTTTTCTTGAAGCAAGGTGAGAAAATGTTAAACTGGACAGCAGGCCCCGTGGGGGACCTGAAACCTTGGTAGCTGTTGTGCATTTGTCCATTCATTCTTGCCTACAAATCTTGCTGCTGTGATCAAGGTGCCAAATTTTACACCCAAAATGTTGTATTAGATTAAAATCTTCATATATATTTTTTATTTTTATTTTTTTGATGAACATGGGGGACCGTGTTGTAGTCTGATTCAGGGGTTGTAGTTTGATCTCAAGTTCTTGATAATTGGTCCATTAGTTATTGTAAGATCCACCTGTACGGGCATGAAGCAATTTTTTAAGCAAAATAATTACTGTATTTCTGTTGGGTTTTGTTAAGTGCATTTAGTAAAAAAAAAATTCCCCTGATAAATTAGTGCATTTTAAAACTATGATTTTGCTATATGATGAATCTAAAATTTGATTCGTTACTGGTTTGATATTGTTGTGGGTTCTTGAGAAATTGGTTATGATTGATCTTCTTTTTGTTAGGAAGTGAGTATGACGTATCTGTCTGTAATGCTCGGTTATTCAGTGTGGATATCGAATTGATGAACTTGACGCGAGTAGCGCAGTGAGGAAGTTGTTATGCTGGTTAAGTTGTAAATAGAACTTTTCTAATTTTGTGATTGATTAATTATTTACTATGAAACACCGACACGTGAAAAATGTATCCCTGTTACAAGTATTCGACACGTGAAAAACGTATCCCTATTATTATTATTATTATTATTATTATTATTATTTTTGGATCAGACAAGGCCAGGACAAGCCGAAGGACACGTTGGTCAAGCTTCAAAAAACAAAATGAGAGAAAGAAGAAGATGATATATATGTATGTGTGTGTATATATATATGTGTGTGTGTGTCTCCATTCTCTATAACAGTCTTGGCTCGGATCATTTGCACATCGTTGGAGGACTTGAAAACGTGAAAGGCAGAGAAAGATCAGATGGAGCAGATCATGAGACATAGAGGAAAAGGAAGAGAGACTGCGATTGAAAAAGAAGGCGAAGAGATAGCAGAACCCCCTATGTTCGACCTGATCGAACACAACTCTCTCTCTCTCTCTGATGCGGTCGAAATTGTACAGATTCTATATAATGGACCTAGAAGGTCTTAGATGCTTCAAAACTTAGCTTGCCCTATGGGCGGTCGAAATTGTCCAGATTCTATAGAATGGACCTATATGGCCATACTTATTGGATCATTTCTTTTGGGCCTATTGACTACTGTAATTGGCTTACTAAAGCTTGTCTACTTGCATGAGTTTTCAACCTAGGCTAAAGCCCTCGTAATTATTTACATTATTATAAATAATTGATTAATCTTTTAAAAATAAAAAATAAATAAAGAAATATGAGATGTATGGTGGGACTAATTTAAATAGGTTACATTTATGAATATAAATGAGAAATTGAGAAAAGAATAATTTCTTTTATATAATAAAAAATTATATTATTATTTTATTGCCGTGTTCGTGTCCCGTTTTTTTTGAAATTTGCCATATCGCAGTATCCGTGTCGTATCGTACCCGCTTTGAGAGACTACATCGAGTTTTTGAGCGTGGAAATCCTTTTTGGAAAATATCCAACCAAGCAAGATGAAAATTACGGAGACTTTTGCCGTCTCGAGTCACTAGTATTGAAGTGATCCGCTAGTGTTGGAACAAAGTACAATAGACTTCGACTTTGGCTCACATTGACTCCGACTTTGGCTCACATTGACTCCGCTCTACCATGCATCAATCGTTTCTTTGGCTTTGCGAAACCACTGTTCAAATGTTCTAGCCTTCAGGCTTTACTCTTTGATCCTTATATAATGGTTGCTGGTAGATCACCGAACACTTCTCGAATGCTTGGTCCTTTTGAAGTGCAATCGAAACTTTCCTCTACCTTCAAATATGAATTTTGTGAAGTCTAGAAGAAAATCCCGCTGAACTGACCAATCAGTATAAGATCATCACCTTAAATCATTCTTGTGTTTAAGTGCGTGTTATCAAAGGTAGACGAATGAAATGTTTTAAAAATTGTACAAGACTTCCCACTCTAGGGTTAGAGATAGATTATTTATTTATATACTAGACAGTCTTTATAATGTGTGTAAAAATGTTTTAAAAATTGTACAAGACTTCCCTTGGTATTTTGATAAAAATAAAAAATTAAAAAGTTACCAAAAATTAAAATTCCACATGTTTAGAAAAACAAGAAACGGTTCTATTTAGAACTCATCTGGTTATTGATTGAAATAGAGCATACCATCGACGAAAAACTTGTTTATTCTCCCTTAAAATAAAATAAAATAAAATAAAATAAAATAAAATAATACTCCACATTTTTCCACACAAATGGTAAAAGAAACAAAGATAAAAAGAAATTACATGGTTTAAAACTTAAAAGGATAAGAAAAGCACAAAAGGTAGTGGGGGAGGGAGAACTTGTGTGGGGAGCATGGCAGCCACGATTCCATTTCCACACACTACTACTCTAGAACCTACATTCACTGTAGTTATCTGTCTACCAACTCTTTTATCTTCTCTTCTCACTTCCAAACTAGAGAGAGAGAGAGACACTAGGAAGAAGAAAATGACCCTCCAGTCACCCACTGGGCTTCAGGCCACCAAGTCCATGCCATCACCAGTAGCTTCTCCTCTGTCAGTCTCAGGAAACGTTGGCCTCCGTCCAACGTCCGATCGTTTCGCTCTTAAATCATCCTTCTTTTCCCCATCTCTTCACCTGTTGCTTCCTCCCCATCAGCAGCAGAAGCCTCTTGCTTCTGCTGCACCCAAATTCTCCATGCGCCTTGCTTCCAAGCAGTCTTACATCTGTCGCGATTGCGGGTACTATTTACAATTTTTCTAATTATCTCTCTGTTTTGTGAATTTTCTAATTTAATGCTAGCTCTTTTATGATGCAGGTTTATTTACAGCGACAGGACTCCCTTTGAGAAATTGCCTGACAACTACTTCTGTCCTGGTATATCTTATTCATATACATTCATTACTCAATTAATTTGACTTGTTTCCGATTTTCTTCAGTGTGTATATAATTGTGTGTATGTATTTTGTATATATATATATGTGTGTGTGTTTATATGGGTAATTGCATACATATTCATGTACAATTTTGCTTCTCCTGTAGCTCATACAACACCCAATTGTTCATTTCCATAAATTTGATTTGTTTCCCATTTACTCTTGTTGCAGTATATCTGTTCCAGTCGATTAGGAGAATTAGAGATACGTTTTACGAAAATGTTGTGACTTTTGGCCTTGCATCCCAATAATTTCCTAACTTGTATCCAACGTTCTCACCGGCTGGAACAGATACACTGTAGGGGTAGGAGAGGATTTTGACTCCAGTATGTATATCATTGTGTGTACACACACACACATATATATATGTGTGTGTGTGTGTTTGTATGAGTGTGTGTATATATATATATGTTGGTAATTGGACATGTATAATTCTGCCTCTCCCTGTGGTTCAAACGTTTTACATATTCTTTGTAGTTTGTAGTGCTCCTAAACGAAGATTTAGGGCATACCAGCCTACTGTGACAAAAAATGTTAACGACACAGCTGTGAGAAAGGCACGAAAAGAACAGATAAAGAGAGATGAGGCAATTGGGTGAGCAGTTCTTTCAAATATATATATTTATATATATGTGTGTGTATATATATTATTTAACTATATCGATCCCTAATGTGAATTGTACTTGTGCAGGCGAGCATTGCCAATTGCAGCTGCTGTAGGAGTTGTAGCACTTGCTGGACTATACTTCTACCTCAACAACATCTACTAGGTTGAATGATATGATAGGAACTATCATATACTTACTATTCTTGTGATTCCATTTCATTCGTGTAACCTCTCTATTCAAATCAAATATATGTTTTGTATCCTCTCCGCATAGAGTTAAAATCTCAATTTTACCCCTTTATTTCTGAGTTAAAACAGAAAGTTCCCAATTCATGGAAAAGGAAAAAAAGGACTATTAAGGTTCAGGGTAAATTACACAGACACTCCTTGAGGCTCTTTCACTCATATTTCAAAGAGTGATTATGGATTTCACTTACACCCCAAATTTCAATTTTTAGTGATGTCAGAGTACTCTTAGGTGTAAAATGTCTAGTACCCTTTTGATTTGGTATTGACTTTGTTTCATATATAAAATAACTTAACTACCCAACAAACCCTTTGAAATGACCAAAATGTCCTATAATTTAATCACCAAATCACAAATTGAATCTGGTAGGCACAAAGAAATGCACGGCGGTAAGCAAAGCCTGTGATAAGTCGACAATAATTGGTGGTCAACGATTCAACGAGGCTGATAGCAAGCTAGGTTGTGCTCGGAGAACTTCTGTCGGATTTCTAGGAAATAAATTAGGAAATTCAATTTTTGAAAATAAAATATAAAACTACTATTTTAGATTTAAGAGTTTCTGTTTCTTGTTTTCTAGCCTAGAGTTTTGTTGATTTGATTTGCTGATTTTGTGGGCTTCCTGATTTGGTGGCTTTCCTCTACTATTTATCTTGTAATCGTCTCTCTTGAAAGATAAGAAGACTGAATATTTTTCTTCTTAAAAAAACCTTCATGGTCTTGTGCTTTTTTTCTATTCTCTGATGATGTTGTATAAGTCGGCGATGACTAGCGCCCAAGGAAATCCTACCGCCTCTTCCGGTACTTCCAAAACCATTCCGCCCAATCCAACTATTTCTCCCACAAATATTCTGCCCAATCCCACACCTGTATTTGCTGATTACTATTCTCAGAATTTAGTCCTTTATCTCACGGTTACAAAACTCAATGGGCACAATTATCTCGAGTGGGCTCGGTCGTAAAATTGGCGATCGATGGCAGAGGCAAAATTAGGCATTTGACTGGCGAAATATCGAAACCTACTGCTGGTGACCCTAATCTGAAAAAATGGCAGTCTGAAAATTATCTTGTTATTGCTTTGCTCATCAATTCCATGGAACCTACCATTGGAAAACCTCACCTATTTCTTTCCACTACTTAAGATGTCTGGGAGGCCGTTCGAGATCTTTATTCGGACTTGGAGAATTCTTCTCAAATATTTGAGTTGAAAACTCGACTCTGGAAATCCAAACAGAATGATCGCGATGTTACTATTTATTATAACGAATTGGTAACTTTATGGCAGGAACTTGATCAGTGTTATGATGATGTTTGGGAGAACGCTCGCCACAAGAAAAGAGAGGAAAATGACAGGGTTTACATGTTTTTAGCCGGCCTTAATCGGAGTTTGGACGAGGTCCGAGGCCGCATTCTCGACAGAAAACCAGTGCCCTTTATTTGGGAAGTTTTTTCTGAAGTTAGACGTGAGGAGTCAAGGAGAAAAATCATGATGCGCAACACCAAACATGGTTTCAATCTAGAACCTGAAAGCTCTGCTCTTGTGTTAAGAGGTGTTGATTCTGACGACGACGGGCGAAAGAAATCGTGGTGCAAGCATTGCAAAAAACCATGGCATATGAAGGAGACGTGTTGGAAGCTTCATGGTAAACCAGTAAATTGGAAGCCAACATCCAAACGTGACGATCGCGCCTACCAAGCCACTACTGAAGAGACTCAGGAGCCTTCTACCAACTCGGATGCAGTCTCTTTCACCAAGGAGCAATTAGAGCACCTGTATAAATTGTTTTCTCCAAAACTGTCCTTAACTTCGTCTTATTCTTTGGTACAGAAGGGTAACTTTCTTGCTACTGCATTTTTTGGTGTTATTCCTAACCCTGTTCATTCTTGGATAATTGATTCTGGCGCAACTGATCATATGACCAGTTGTTCCAAATTATTCTCATCCTATAGTTCGTGTGCAGGCAATAAAAAAGTCAAAATTGTAGATGGTTCACTCTCAGTAATTGCCGGGATATGAACTATCAAACTCACTCCTTTGTTAACCCTCTATGATGTGTTCCACGTTCCCAATTTGTCTTGCAATTTGTTGTCCATCAGTAAAATTACCTCTGATCATCAGTGTCAAGCTAATTTCTACTGTTCTTATTGCGAGTTTCAGGAATTGGACATGGGGAGGATGATTGGCAGTGCTAAGGAAAAAGATAAACTCTATTATTTTGACGATGGACCTGACTCGAGTAGACGATGTCAAAGTACTTCCTTAAATTTTGTTTCTGTTTCCAAAGATAATGATATTATGTTATGGTATTATATGTTAGGCCATCCTAGTTTTCAATATTTAAAATACTTGTTTCCCAATTTATTTTGGAATAAAAGTCCATCCTTCTTTCAATGTGATGTTTGTCAGTTTGCTAAACATCATCGTGCATCTTTTTCCCCCCAACCCTACAAACCAACTACGCTATTTACTGTGATTCATAGTGATATCTGGGGCCCACGTAGAACATCTACGCATTTTGGAAAAAAATGGTTTGTGACCTTTATTGATGATAACACGAGATTAAGTTGGGTTTATTTGATAAAGGAAAATTTTGAATTGGGAATAATTTAAAAATTTTTTTACACCATGGTACAAACACAATTTCAAAAAAATATTCAAATATTGCGGAGTGATAATGGTCGAGAATATTTCAAACACATTTTGGGCCAATTTTTTTTTCTTGAAAAAGGAATTGTTCATCAAAGTTCTTGTGTCGACACTCCATAACAAAATGGTTTGGCTGAAAGAAAAAACAAACGCTTATTGAAAGTAGCTCGGTCATTGCTTTTTACCAATCAGGTACCTAAATATCTTTGGGGTGAAGCCCTTCTTACTGCTAAAATTAAACGCCTAATAAGGTTTTAAGCTTTAAAACAACTTTGATGTTTTTCATAAGTTTTATCTAAGAAATCGGCTTTCTTCTTCTTTACCACTAAAGATATTTGGTTGTACCGCATTTGTTCATATTTATAGTCATAATCGAGGAAAACTTGAACCCGGAGCCACAAAATGTGTGTTTGTTGGTTATGCTCCCACTCAAAAGGGGTATAAATGTTTTGAACCCATTTTTAAAAAAATGTTTGTTACCATGGATGTTACTTTTTTTGAATTACATCCCTATTTCACGCTTCATCTTCAAGGGGGGAACCAAAACAAAGATTTAGCTGTTTTTCATGATTTTTTCCAAACGGAAATTGAAGACTCAAAAAATGATCCTTCTCCAATTTTGATTATTCAACCTGAAAACCAAAGCTTTATTATACCAAGAGAAAGTGAGTCGAGTTTTTTAGATACTGAAAAGGCAGGTCTTCATACAGTGCCATGATGTTCATGATCCTATAACGACTAACAAAGGAGAAATAGGAAAAAGAAACCCAGCGTTGGTACCATTTGACATTGTCTACTCGGGACAGAGGACAACTCGAGAGAAAGGGTTTTCTAATCCTTTACACTGCTTAGAATCCATAAACCCTCCAGCTAATGTCCTCACCGAGCCCATTTCATCTTCGAGTTCTGAGTCCTTTAGTTCTGAACCCGAGTCTAATTCCAATCATGAGTTCGATGATTCTGAACTTCCCATTGCTGTACGGAAGGGTGTGAGGTCTTGCACCCAGCATCTATTGTCCAATTATATGTCATATAAACATCTCTTACCTGTTTTTCGTGCTTTTACCTCACAATTGTCTTGTATGGAGATTCATAATACTGTGCAGGATGCTCTGAAAGTTCATGAGTGGAAGGAGGCTGTCTTCGAGGAGATGAGAGCTCTTGAAAAAAATGGCACGTGGGAGTTAGTTAATCTACCAAGAGGAAAGTCAATTGTAGGGTGCAAATGGGTGTTTATAGTTAAGAATAAATCCGATGGCTCTCTAGAACGGTATAAAGCTTGATTGGTTGCCAAGGGATTCACTCAGACCTATGGCATTGATTACTTGGAGACATTTTCCCCGGTCGCAAAGCTAAACTTTGTAAGAGTTCTTTTGTCACTTATAGCTAATCGTGACTGGCTTCTGTAACAGTTGGACGTAAAAAATGCATTCCTCAATGTAGACCTGGAGGAAGAAGTGTACATGGATGTACCTCTAGGATTTGGTGAAAAGTCTGGCACAAAGGTGTGTAAACTAAAGAAGTCCTTATACGGGTTGAAACAGTCACCAAGAGCCTGGTTTGAGAAATTCACTCAGTTTGTTAAAAGCCAAGGGTATACTCAAGGGCAAGGTGATCATACGATGTTTATAAGACATTCACAGGATGGGAAGATAGCGATATTGGTGTGTCATGAATGCCAATGCACCAAATTGCATGCAAAAGTGTGTAGTGTGGCCAAGTTTAAATTTATAGAATGCCACTATCACTTCTAACTAAAAATATAGCTAGAGTGAGTAAGGATCATCCCAAGGGAAATGAGGTGTATTTGTGTTGGAAATTAATGTCGAATTAATAGGTCGAATGATCAAAGATGGTTGGTGATTGTTTAATTAAACTACAAATTTAATTAAAACTAATGCCAGTAAATAGCATTATAGAAAATAGAGAAAAAATATAGGAGAGAGGTCTTGGGGCTTAGAGTCACCACTAAGCTTCATTTCATCAAATACTAGCAATTGTACATCAATGGGGAAATTTAAATTGTAACTTGTGTGTGTGTGTGATATCAATTGAAATTAAGCATGGATGACAAATAAGTATAGATTGTCTAGTCAATTTTAATGAAAAGCACAACCTATCAAATGAGATCAATATCCATTCAATTAAACTACAATTAATGCACACACAAATATATTCACAAGTATGGAACATCAAGAAACAAGAATGGATTGTTCACCTACCTAAGAAATTAAAGTAATTACACTATAATTAGGCTAGAGGCATGAAATTAAACTAGAGATGTGATACAATCCATCAAGAAAAAAGTGTGAACCATCAAATAAATCACAAGAGTGTTCTATTAAGCACCATGCTTTGACCATTACTAGATCAATATCATCAGCACACATAGACATGCATCAACTTAATTAAATCTAGAGACAAAAATATGAACATCAATTTTAGCATACATAGACATATGACTAGAGTCAAATGATTAATTGAAAGCATTAATCCATACAAATCAAGTAGAAAGTACAAGATCTATATTTATTCATGGTCAAAACATTTATTATAACTAAAATCCCCAAAAATACACAAAAGTTAGGTTTGAGAAGCAAGCCTGGGGGCTATCTCTAGCCCCAAAAGAAAGATTTAGCCACTCATTGTAGTGGACATAGAACTCTTAAGGGCTAGCTTGGAAGTTGGCATCATCATCTTCATCCTGCTTTCTTCTCAAAAACCCTAGTTCTAGAGAGAGGAAAAATATTTTTCAATAATTGGTAATATCTCTATGATGGTCTCTTACAATGATGTTCGATAAATCAATTACATACTCCTTTGAGTAAAGACTAAGTCAGAATTACAGCTTATGATTGGAGGAAATTCGCAGCTACACAAGTTAGGTAGAAATCGGCGCGCTCGGGAATTAGACAACTCATTGCTAGCAGGTATTTCGATCGATCAAACACTTGGCTTCGATCGATCGAAGCTGACGTGGGTCGAAAATATCTTCCAGGCTTTATCCAATTGGTTGAGCTGACACTACCTCATTTCGATCGATTGTAGACTTCTTCGATCGATCGGGACTCCCCTTCGATTGATCGAAGTTCCCTTGGTGCATTTTTCTCGGCTTCTTTCTAACTTTGTTCCTTAGCTCCAAAATTGAGCTAAATGGCTTTTGTTAGCCTGTTTAAACTTTATTCACCTGAAATAGACAAAAACACAAATAAGTATCTAAAACATGAAAGTAAGATAGCCTAGTCCCTAGCAATGGATTAAAATACCCTAACTCAAGTGTTAAAATGTGTCACATTTGAGCACTCATCACACCTTCAAACTTAGATATTGCTAGTCCCTAGCAATGAACTACAAGGAAAGGAAAGAATAAACAACTATACAACTATGAACTAGAAAGTAATAAATGGATAACGCCACTTTCATAGGGAATATGATTACATTTAACGTATGCAACAAGCCTTTTAAACCTCTAGGTTACCCCCAGTGGACAAGTGAAGTATCGTGAGGGTTTCTTGAAATGATACTCACAAACATTGAGCTATTTTTCACAAGAGAGTCACTAATATACAAAACAAGCATTGGGAGAAAACTACCTCAAGTATACAATTTTTTAACCATTTTCAAGCAATCTCCCAAAATCTCAACATCAAGCAAGTAAATATGGTCCTCCACACATTAAGAAAATGATCATGCAAATCAAAATAACTCTAGAATCCTTTTAAGTGAACCGGCATCAAATATGTTGCTATCTAAGCCAATTAAAGAAATGATCACATCCTTACCCTCAAACTAGCACACAAATCTAGTAACGATCATCAAAACAAAGAGTGGACCTTTTATTAAAACTTTATTCATCTAGATGCATTTATTCTTTTCACTCGATTTATTATTATTATTATTATTATTATTTTTGCTACTATCCTAGAGGATCAAAGATGGGAGCATGGTGCAATGTGTTGATCTATTAAGTTTTCTAGAAATCCATGAGGTCGAGCGTTAGGTTAATGACTCCCAAACCGGACGGCTTTAGGGCATTAGGTATTTAAACACCCTTAAGGACTTACAAGCTCAAATCAACTAGGTTACAAATCAAAACAACCTCCATCTAATCATTTCTCACTTCTCACCTTTTGGGAGAAATCCTCACTCTTTCATTTGCTTTTGCAACAAATTTTTTTTTTTTTGATCAAGTATTAACCTAGAGTTTGGGCCTTCCACCTTTCAACGCGAGAAATTTAGTGCTTGATGAGGCTAGAATCCCGGCTACTCAATGAAAAGGGATTGTTATACACTTCTGTCAAGATGAAAGCTTTCAATGCACTACTAGCTCAATTGAGATATAATCAATTCAATAGTCAACAAAGCATGTACCCCACAAATGAATGCTAGTGTGCATCTGTGCTAGTGTAGAATCCTATAGTGAATCTCAAAACAATCACAAAATCAAGATGATGTGGACCACAAATGCAAGCAATATATCAATTTTTTGAAAAATTTACTCCTAAATGGCATCCACAAGGCATACAAGGAGTATTGGACTATCAAGTCAAGCAATTTTTAAATTCTAAGTATTATGGTCCTCAAAAGATCAAAATCATAGCCCAAGACTCTCAAATCATATCATATGCATAGAAAATAAGTGCGACATGTAAAGTATGCAAATACATCCCCAAA